TCTATAAACATTTCATATCAAATGGACACGATTTGTTTAAAAGATTTTAAATCAAAATATATCAAACTAAAATGGTAGCCCGAACTTCAAGTCTGTGTGGCTCGAAGTATTTATAACCTTAGTCGTGTTGGAGAAGACTTTATTTTAGACTTTTATATGTAGCTTTATATATCTCTGGTTTTATAAAGTTGAAATATTTTAAGAATGTCTGCTCATACTTTTAAATATTCATCATTTTTTATATTTTTAATCTAACTCAGTTTAAATTTTTTCAATCTTTCAAAATGTAAAATATATTCTATTATTAACTGTTTTCGCAATATATAATGTTGATAAATTTTTTGAAGATCACTTCTCCGTAAGCAAGTCTGTTTTTTAACGATTTTTATTAAATTAATAGGCTTCATTTAAAAACGAATTACTCGGTCATTTTGTTAAAATCAATACTTAATCAGTCTAAAACGAGAATTTATATTTGCATATTATGTTATATTGATTTCCTATTAACATATGCATTTTGAATGCCTTAATTAAAATTTAAAAGGCTTTTTTAGTTCCTTAGAATGAATAGTAAAACTAAATAAAACAAAGGATAAGAAATAATGGCGTTTTACAGAACAATGTCGCCACATTGGCGGCAATATAGGACTTGTAAGTGACGCATACCTACTTCCAAAGACATTATTTTACTTATATTAGGTATATTTACATCGAATACGAATACTATTACAGCTACAATTTGACGTTTTGTGTATTCGTGTAGTCTTTAATTTCAGTACGTATTGATTAACTAAGCAAAATATTTATTCCAATCTCAATTTACCTTCTGCGATCTTTGTCTCCTTAAGTTTTCTACGCGGCCTTCTGAAATTCGACATGCGATATAGGGAAGAAAAATTAGGCGATGTAATAAAAGTTTGAATTTGACGAAAAAAAATCTATTATATTTTTGGGTGTAATTAATACTATTTTTTATTAATTAGTTACCTCATGTTCGGATGAGAATGCAATGCTGTATGAGAATGCAAACTATGCCTAGTCATTTATAATCAACTGGACCTGATATTGTAATGTTTCACCTCTATTTTATAATATAAAGATTGCCTGTATTTTATAATATAAAGATGCATCTAACTAATTTGATTGATTGTAATATTTTTTGTTACAGTTCGACCGCCCAGGAGGATCAAGTGGCCGAATTTCTTAGCGGGAAGTAAGTAACACAATTTTATTTACACACAGATATACAAATTATGTACATATAGAAATAACAATACATAATACAATATAAGTAACTCCATTACATCTATATAATGGAATTTTAGAATCCTGGCCTCTGGCTGAAGAATAATTTTGTTTAAACGAAGATGAATTTCAAGTTATAAAATTTATAATTCAAACTTATATAATGTTAATGAAATAAACAATCTATTTCTTTGTAATATACTATTCTATGTCATATGCAAATTCGATCACAATTCTCCTGTTTCCCAAACCAGTTACTCTCCTGTGAGAGGAAATTGGTAATTGGCTGTCTTATTAACACAAAGCTGAAGACACGGAATACTGAATAGTATAATTTGCATATCAGATCTGGTTAAGAGACTGATAAAGCACAGGAAAAATACAGAAGGAGATATTCTAAAAATTCAATCACAAATTTTCTATCACAGTATTACATATTTCTTTGTAATTTAATTTAATTCTAAATATTATGAATTTAATTTCCCTACATTAATATGTTATAAAGAAAGTTTTTTCGATCAGTATATTTTTTATGTGTACGTGCTTAAAATAATTTAAATTATATCTTAGATTTTAGCGAGTATTCATAAACTCCCGAGTATGAGTCCGAAAATAATTAAAAACGTGTTGTCTATCCGAAAAACTTAGTTTCATTTAAATAATTATAAATTTTACTAGTCTTCTGTTTTAGAAGATAATTAGTTTTCACCACCTTCGATTTTCTTATTAATTAAAATTTTAAGATTCCTTGAAGAAAGCCATTTATCTGAAACAAATTCTGAAAACAACGTTATTTTTAACATATATATCTATTGGCAGTTTATATGGAAAAATGTATTTTAATATAAACAAAAATAAAAATTTCGATAAAATATTTGATCGTTCACATCAATTATTTATAATGCGACTGTCAATATTTCTATTTAATTTTTATTTGATTGAAATTCCGGAGAATTTCAACAAACAAACTATAGTTGATTTAAATATATTTTTCATATTTATATTATTATTAATTTAATATACGATCCTAATGTTATGGTAACTTTGAATATCTAAATGCAGATTTTCTGAAAGAGACCCTGTAATTTGTTCCTGAAAATAAATATAAGGTTTAATACTGTGATTCGAGTAATATTTTGTAGACTAGAAGAGTCTAGACCAATTTGTTTAGTACACTAGACTATGACTATCAAAAACCGTTTGATAAAAATATATTTGTGCAATGTAATGATATATGTATTAGTAATTAATAAAATGTATTAAACATATAAAATTCTTTCAGATTCAATGTTGTTTTGATTCAGTACTTTTGCCGTTTCAGTTTGAGTGTACTCAATTTCTATAAAATTTTCTGTAAAATTCAAATTAATTGGAGCAGGAACATTGTTTATATCAAATTGTAATTAAAAGAGGCCTTTTATATATATTTTTTACAAGCAATTAAAATTGTAGTTTTACATTTATAACAAAGTTTCACAAAAGCCGGTAATTGAGCCAACTAAAAAAATAGAAAACATCATTTTGTTATATGTTTGTGAGCAAAATAGGTGTGTGAAAAATATCAGATTTTTATTTTAACATTTAGGAAGTCTTATACAGAAGTAAGTTTAAATAAACGAAAGAAGTTTTGAAGGAAGATGGAGATCTTAAAAACAAAGATGAGCTTTTTAACATAAACAATATTTACTGCTTAGGAAATAGTTCGAAATAGAGAAAGTAGAGAGAGAAAGAGTTTAGAGATTTATTCACATCTAAATTCTAAAGAGATTTTTTACTAATCGTCATGCTATAAGCTTGACTGGCTTACTAAAGTAGTGAATGTCGGTAAATGTTGAAAAAATGCAATACAAGTATTATTTTTAAAAATAAAATATCTATTTTTAATATATTTAATCTTCATGGCCAATTCATTTGTTTCAATGAATTTTATCGCCTCCTTGTACAGATCTAACAACCGTTGTAAAGTAAATCCGTGACCAAAATATCAGTACGATTACTTGACGTCTCGTTTAAAATACTACTATATTTTGGAATGCCAACAACTTCACAGTGACTTTTTTTACCCAAAAGGGGCCAACTGAACAGGCAGCTTACCTGATGAAGGTAGTATCGTCGTCCATGGCCATCCGCAGCATTATTTTGCGGACGCGTTGCCCATCCTTGATTAGAGGAAGGGGGGAGGAAAAGGTGGGAAAGGGAGGGAAAAGGGAAAGGGTAGGAAAGGATGGGAAAATTGAAAGGACAACTGGCTCTCTCATTCATTGGACGAAACGCAGATATCAAAGACTACACGATGATCTTCTGTGAAAGGGTGGTACTTCCCCGGTCGAACCAGCCCATATTCGAGCTGCAGTAACTTGACCACAGCTAGGCTCTACCACTTCAAAAAATATTATTATTTTGTAATTTTTTTTTATTCGGGTTGACATAATTTTGCAATATTTAGCTATATTTCTATGTAGTATTCGTAGTAGTTAAATAATTTATTTTTACTTATAGTAATTTGTTGAAACTAATAAAACTTGAAAAGCTTTAAAAAACTAAAATAAAATAAAACTTGAAAAGCTCTTTGCTCCTAAATTTACTTGCTAAAAAAATCAAAAAAACTATTAAGATTCCACATTTGTCCTAAAATGTGTCTGAAACAAAAATCGGATTTGCAAGAGATCTTATTATAATCGGCTATTTAATAGATTCTTCTTGGACCTTTCATTGAACGCATGAGGTTAAAACAATCGAATGAAAACAATTTAACAAAAAGATGTACACTGAAAGAAAAAGCTTTAAAAATAATGGCATTATCTGCTTACAAGACAAAACTGAGATTATTTAAAAATAAGTGGAACCTATTTACTCTAAAAAACCACAACACATTTTATTTACTTTTATATTTTTAATAATCTCTTTTATATGTAATTAAGAGTAATTGGATACCCCACGGACTTGATGACAGCAAAAATCTTAGTTTTTTTTTACTTATTTATCGCGTATCTTTTCATAGATTCCTGCGAAGTAAGGTTAAGATAAGTGGTAACGCAGCCAAGACTATGTGGTTATAACAGCTGATAATTTAATTCATACACCAATACTTAAAAATTAGTTAGTGCTCTGTTTTTATCATGCATCTATGCATTATATCTTATGCTCACTGTGATATTTCCATCATTATTCTTATTTATTTCTTAAGTAATACAAAAATTATAGATACATATATAAATTTACAAACGTTATCTGTAAAATTCTTTCTTTCCCTAAAGAAACTTGCATTGTGGTTAAAAAATAATAAAATAAATGCACATTTTTATAAAATATATCTACTGAATAGCGATAACAAAGTTTTAGATAGCGTTCTAAAGAACTATAGTTCAAAGCAACTCTTAACTAGACTTTACTTTTAATAATAGTAAATAACGATAGATAAGTTTTCTTTTTCTTTTAGTCGACTTTATCATAATTTAATTGATTTGAAGGGTGTTTAAACAAATGAACTGATTTAATATTATTTATAACAACATATGTACAAGACATTTATTGTTAGAGATAGGTAACACTTATTTTTTACAATAACAATATATTTATTCATTATTTCATTGTATCGCTGTATTGGATAATAATCTATTTTACAATATACCTGAGCCATTAGGTTTGAATGAATTTTGTCATACTTTTGACGTGTATTTCATTTATTCGAAGTATCTTTATATAATTGGATATAACAGTCATGTGGTTGACTTATCTTTCGTTGTACAGTCAGGATGGTGAATCGTAACGAGAGACGTGCTGTGGCCTGCATACTGTTGACGGCGATAGCTGTCGTTGCGGCCGCTTCGTATGATCGGGAACGACTTGAAATTGCGAAGCAAATCCTCGAAGAAGTACCCCTAACCGACGGGTATGTAATAAATTTTTGTACAATTTAAATGCGTTAAACTTCAAATAAGCTTGCGATGTCTGTTGAATAAATCTGTGAGTGCATTTTGGTTGTCTATTGAATGTTTTCAAACATTTTGTTCATGATGGCTTTAACTTGTTTAGACATAACGATTTACCATGGAACATCCGCAAGTTTCTACGCAATCAAATCAACGATTTCGAACTGGACACCGATTTAACCCAAGTGGAACCCTGGTCTAAATCAAAGTATTCGCATACTGATCTTCCTAGACTCAGAAAAGGCATGGTCGGAGCACAGGTAATATTAAATATATTTTTTAAACTTAAGTAAGGAATACTAAAAATGTGTACTGAAAAGAAAATATGTAAGACATTTTTTCTTTCTTTAACACATTGTTTACGAGACTTTTTGAGATATTTCTCATTAGCAACTTTTTACAGAAACAGAGAAGTGTGCCAAATGTACTAAAAGGGGTGTAAATTTTCTTTGTCTTTTTCATGCTCTTACTTGGATTTCACTTCAGAGCTTAATTTCGGATATTTTCGTTTTTTAAATCGGTCTATTGTGAAAAATGTATAAAAATAGATCTTCTAGAGTTAAATATGCCATTTCTTAGGGAAACTACATACATGACTGCCCTGATATTAAAATAGCAATGCCATGTCATTGCTTGTGTGGTGTCATGAATCTTCCGGTTCTAAGTGCTATGCGTGGTTTCAAGGAGTCAGACTCCTGTCTCCTTACATGATATTTATTGATACACCAGTTTTGACCTGACGATGAAATTCCTATGTTCCTATGGTATTTGGCATATGTAACACAAATAAAAATATTATTATACCTAAAGATAAATTTACACTCCATTTTGAACACGATACGAGAATTTTGATTCGTTTTCAATGTATTTTCAACTTTCATTAAACAAATCTTCTATATAGCTGTTTTCCAAATCCCTTTTTTTAAATCTCAGCGTCCGAATTACATAAGCTGCGTTGATACATTTTACGAACGCTGCAAGTCTCGCTTCCTTTGAGATAATCAGAGTATCTCCCAGATTTTTTTGTTATTTTGTACAAATGTTTCAGCAGCGTAGAAATATCTCTATAATCCTGATTTACGTTATTTTAGAACTAGTTTGTTATTACCATTACATTATTTAGTGAACAAATTTTCCCAAATATTTTTTTATGTGGTTTATTTCAGTAACATAGTCTTATCAAGGTAGATATGAAACACTCGTTCTTACTCGTTGGTAAATCTTTTTATACAATTTAAATATTTTACTGGATTCAAATGTTAAGACAAATGTTTAACATAATAATATACCTAAGACACAGAAGTGTGAAAAACATTACAGACTTCTGCGTCTTATGTTTATTATTTCACATTAAGTTGTAAAGGCCAGTGTTTCTTGTTCTCGCTATTATCATGTTACAGATAGTTACCAAAGCCAATAGCTAAAAAACGAAGGATAATTGATGATTGTTTCTGATACAATGAATTTTGTCCTGAGTATATATTTTGATTAAAACTTAGAACATAAGTTTCACCAACTTGCACGAGTGTTGACGCGTTTCTTAAATGCTAGGTTTATTTAAACCCCGGAGAGTAAACGATACATTTTATTAACAACCTATGTACATACATGTGTACGTATATTACAATTATTCATTTAAGACTATTACCAATGAAATTGTACATTTTCCCCCATAATTTTTACATTCGAAGTGCAAATATAGTTTAATATACATATTTTGCTAATTCTTTATCAGTTTTGGTCAGCCTTCGTACCGTGTGCAGCTCAAAACAAGGATGCCGTTCAGTTGACTCTTGAACAAATCGATGTCATACGTCGACTTGTAGCCAAATATCCTCACCAGTTTCAACTCGCTACCTCTGTTACTGGTAAATTTCATATTATATTAAAATATAATCTATATATGAAAGTATTTAGAATTAATGTTATATATTTTTATAGATATCCTTGAAGCTCACAGTGCTAGGCCTCGTAAAATCGCTTCTTTGATTGGCATTGAAGGTGGACACTCTATTGGCAACTCCTTAGGCATTCTTCGCAGCTACTATCAACTCGGAGTACGCTACATGACTTTAACTCATACATGTAACACTCCATGGTAAGAAAAAAATATATACATATAAAAAAACGCGCCAGCGATAATTAACTGTACTGTTCATAAATATTTTATAATATATTCTTATTTAATTCACAAAGAACTAATATATTAACAATGATATTTTTTTGCCCCATCTTTACTTAAATTTTTTTCACAAATACTACTTTCGTTTTTTTTGATAAATTTGTAAGTCTTCATAAATTTTTTCATTCCTTAATAATTACAATAACCAAAACAGAGTTACTTGACAAAATCAAACGCAATTCGTGTAACTTTTAATTCCTAATAACATAATAGTAAAAATATTCATCATCATGAGAAAAACTCTATAATATTAGTGACAAAATGATTGTATATGTACAAAAATATATAAAACATATATGGGTTAAGTTGTCATTTTTCTAATCATGTAAATTAATGTGCAGCGCGAAAAAACCAGCGAGTGTATCCAACGTTATTGTCCAAAAGTTTTTAGCTTCATTTATTTGTATTGTTATTTCATAGGGCTGATTCTGCCAACGAAGCACCAGTCGCTAACGGACTCACGGAATTCGGAGAGGTGAGTTTGCAAAAAATATTGTTTTAAATTAACAGAGGCTAGCGGATGTCTGAGTCATTGTTTTAATATGCTTTGCGAATTAATGTTTTATAAACCACACAATACAATCAAGTCGAAGGAGGGAACAGTGTGACTAAATGTATAATATTATTGTCTAAAGCAAATATACTAAAAGGATTTTCATTTTAGAAATAATATGTTTTCGCAACATTGTGTTTAGAATAAAGAGTGAAGGGGCAAAATGATCGGGAATACTTGTATATTAAATAGGAAAAAATATATAGTATCTATACGAAGTTCATAATTTAATTTCATTTTAATTAAGCTTAACACAAAAATAAGTATTAGTTTCAGTTACTTTGTAACAATGGTGATCATTTCGTCCGCCTGTGATCACGGTTGCTTTTAAGCAACCGGAACGTCGGGGGTATCTAATACTTTTAAGGATAATAAAATAATATGAAAATATTAGTTTCATTAAATGAATACTCGCGAAAATAGTAGATCTCATTATTCAACACTACTTGTTCTATGAATAATCCAAAAACTATAAATGCTTTCATTTGGCTTCGTCTTCGTCTTCCTACGAAAAACTCAATTTTTTTTTTCAACACAAAAAACACACGAGTGACTATTATAGTTAAAAGTGCAGAACATAAAATATGTGACGTCAATGATTCATAATTTTGAGCGACTATTTATATGTATTTCATGCAATTACACTTTCAGAATTTCTTTGAATATATATAATTGTTAATTAACCTAATAGTATATTACAAACAAGCTTTGTAATTTTGACAGACCAAAAAGGAATCGCTTTCGAAATAAGAATGTGACGAGTCTTGTTGAATACTAACCTCAAACGACATTTAGTGTTTACAGTGTCATGATATGCGAAATTATTCAGAGAAAAGTAACTCTTTGACATTGGAAGCATTTGTCAACAGAAAGTGGTCCGTGAGATGAACCGTCTTGGCATGCTGATTGATTTATCCCACGTGGGCGAGAACACTACTAGAGCGGCCATACGTCTCTCGAAAGCGCCGGTCATTTTCAGTCATTCTTCAGTCTACAGTTTATGTCCTCACAAACGAAATGTCCCCGATGATATCATACAATCCCTGGTAAGTTATGTGTATTTTTATTATAAATAAGTATAAAGATGCTTAGTCGCAGTTGCGCTCTTTAAACTGAAAGTAAGATTTATAACTACAAAATGGATTAGAACTAAACGGTTTTAAAGCCTCATGGCATTGTTACAGTCAAACTTGAATCGTATGTTGGTAATCTTTACATTTTTCATTTAAACTACTGTTAAATATAAGTAATTATACTTCACTTGATATAATTATTGTTATACTGTTTTAGTTAAATGTTTGCAAATCGGATCTGATTTATTTACAGTCTGTAACTGGACTTTACCAACTTCCGATATTAAATCGATATTCAGTAACTCTTACTGTTTGGTTTTGTTAGTTTAAGTGCTTTACCTTCCCTTCTAAAATAGCTTTTATCTAGGATTTTGCTACAATTTCATTAGTCACAAAAGTCCCCATGTGGATAATGTTCTTTTATCACCCCATATCAAAAGTACACACTTAATTTTATTATTTCAGTCGCTTATGCTTCAACAAAAATATTATTTAGGTCGTGAAATAAAAAAGATTTTTTGATACAAGAAACGCCACATCATTGCGGATATGCAATTTATTTTATCTGCAACCTAATAATATAATAAAATAATATTCTAATTTGGAAAAGTGCTCTTAAAGTAACTGAATGGGAATCACAAACTCGCTTTGGAGACAGAAGAACATGGAATGTGCCTTAGAACAAAGACCACGATGACGTTGACGCAATCGTTTGTTCTAATGTTTTTATTTACATCTACAGTATAAGCTGTTTAAAACAGTTGATGTTCGGAATAATGATAGTATATTTATTATTTTGTTATCAGACATATTTTATTCAATAAGAGAATAGCAATGTTAATAGGGGAGTGAAACAGAATGGTTTTAATAATATTATATGATATTGACAAAGATTACGCAGTAAAAATATATTTGAGTTTACTTGTGTTTTCTGAAGGTATTAATATTTTAGAAAGAAACTAAGATAAACGGTGATTTTATTTGCCTCCAAAAAGACGAACATTGGATTGGTAGCTCAAAATTAGTTTATTTAAATAAAAGTATTATGTTTTTCTCCTCTTTCCTGTCGGTATGTTTATTATGGTTCTCGAAATTTCTCCAAGCTAAGCGTTTAGTTTAAATAATAATTAATAGCATACTGAACTGAACTATGCGGCATTGTTTTCTCGAGGCACTATTTGTTACAATAACTAACTACCGGGAAGCTAACGAGTTTCTTGCAGTATTCTCACTGGAATCTATATTTTGACCGATTGCTAAATTCATCTTATATTAATTTATAAGATCAAGCACAGTCCTTTGATAATACTAGGTGACGAATAAGTATTTCCTTATAAAATTTCAGGAAATAAAAAAAACGAAAGGTATTTTTAAAATAAAACAAAATTCTTACACAAATACGTCTTTAATTTTACAATTTATAGGATTAATAAGAGTTATAACCCATTTATTACCTGAATATTTATCTAATATATAAAATTCTCGTGTCACGGTGTTCGAACTTGAACTCCTCCGAAACGGCTCGACCGATTTTCGTGATCCTTATCGAGAATATTAACCAGGGGGGAGAATCGGCCAACATCTATTTTTCATCCCCTTAAATGTTAATGTCCACCCCTAAATTTTTGTTTTTATTTTTGAGGCAAAATTTTTTGTTTTTATTTTTTTATGACACAGCCTACAAAAATACATACAACCCTAAATTTTCACCCCTCTGAGATCAACCCTTATTTTTTATTTGTTAATTAAAAACTTTAATTTTTTGGCAATTTTTTTTTTATTTTTTGATGACTTACAATAAAAAATCTCATATTACTCTAAATTTTTCACCCCTCTACGATCAACCCCTATTTTTTATTTGTTGATTACAAACTTAAAAATAAACAAGACAATTTATTTCTTGATTGAGGCAGTACGAAGTCTGCCGGGTCAGCTAGTATTCATATAAAATCGTTTACATATGTATCTACGGGAGAGTGATGTTTGAGATTCTCTGTATTGAATGACAGCGATCACTTTTAAAGTGCATGCAATTGATAATTAAAATAAAAGTACTCAATAATAAAAAAAAACAAACATATTTAACAACTTGGAACAGCGATTATAAAAACAGAAAATTGAATGAACTACAAAAAAAATCTTAATAATAAACTTTTATACGATTTATTCAGATTCATAACTTTCATATCCACGTTACATTTTAAAATATTTATGTATAATAAAATTTGGTGTAATATAAAAAAAGGGATGATTTGTTTTACAAAAAATATTATATAAATATATGTATATATATCCTGATAGTACATAAATATTGTAAAAAATAACTACATATTATATGTATGTAATTACGAAAATTGTTGCAGAAAGTAAACGGTGGAATTATTATGGTTAACTTCTTTCCTGATTTTGTGAAATGTGCACCAAATGCTACCATATCCGATGTTGCTGGTGAGTGGAAATTTGACTTTGTTTCATATTTCGACATAGTATAACTACTTAATACGAGTACAAAGCCTTAACCGGGAAAAAAATTTATATTTTTATATTGAATTACTTATTACTCGTATACATTGTGTGTATGTGTGTGTGTGTTTGTGTTGTCTTAAGTAGTTGCTGGCCTTAAGAGATTTTAGAATTAAGCGATGCCTTTGTTAGCTTCGTTCGTGTGTAAAATATAAGTTTTCTCTTTTAGAACATTTCCATTACCTGAAGAGGATGATAGGAGCTGATTATGTTGGTGTTGGCGGTGACTTTGACGGAGTTAATAGGTAAGCTCAATTAAACCAAATGAGTAATATATTAACTTTAATAAACATTACTTCATACTTTATGTACAAATATTTAAATACAATTACACTTATTTTGCAGGAATTTGTTCAATACACTAACTACGCTTTTGTTAAAAATAGTAAACTAGGGGCGCAAAATCAATACTTTGGTTGTTTGCAGAGTTCCCCGCGGCTTGGAAGACGTTTCCAAATATCCCGAATTGTTTGCTGAATTACTGCGAAGTGGTCAGTGGAGTGTTCAGGAACTGAAGAACCTTGCCGGGTTGAATATACTACGAGTTATGCGCCAAGTTGAAAAGGTATACATTCTTTTACAATCTTTCTCTATACGTTATTACTGTGAGACGTATTTAGTAATAATGTTTGTAGATCCGTGACGACATGCGAACCAATGGCTCCGAGCCCGAAGAACACCCTGATTCTCCCAATGACAACGGCAGCTGCACCAGCAATGCTTTCTATACTGACGACGTTTAAATGTATCGTAAAAGGACTGTAGTTAGATTTATGATAGTTTTATTATATTAAAACCAAAAATAAACCTTTTTATTGCTCACTTCAATACAGGATTTAATTTATCAGTTTTTTTTCTATATGGTTATATAATTTTTAATAGAATAATTACAAACCGTGTTTACTAATTTGGAATATTAATTAAATATTAAATGTTATTAATGTCTTTTGAAACTTATTCATGTATTTGATGTTGTTTGTGAAATTAGAAGGTTCCATCAGGAGAGGCATGATATATTGATATTCAACGTGTTCTATTTAAATATTGTGGAAAAGTCGAAGATGTCTGTTAGGCTAACTCGTTTCAAATACTTTGTTTGATTACAATAATAATTTCAAAAACTCCATAACCTAATAAACATTTTACATTATGAATTAAATGTTGTTATTAAAACAGTTCGTAAGCTGCTCTTCTAGAATATGTCTGAAATGAGTTAGTGGATACGTTGTAATCTCTTCTGATTGTTAGTCAGACATAAATTTAATCAATAAGGTAGACGTATGATAGATCTCCACTTTCGCAACACTCCTTCATCTCTTGATTACCAAAATAGGTGTCAGCTTCTATCCGATCTCCTGAAATGGCTCCGGACGCATTCGAATTATTTCTATTGACTTATAATTTAACTATTTCAGAACAGAGTAATCAAAAAAAAATATTAGAGAAAATTGTGAAGGTTTTTTATTAAAACCGCAACCTAAAGAGGTTTAAACGTAGTTAGTTAATATCTAATAATAATAAATAATATTAAATTAATTTTTGTACCTAAATTACTTTGATAGGATTTTGAAAAATATATGCATAAAAAATTTGGGTGTCATCAACGGAAGCCATTGAATTCCTCCTTTCTTCTTGTGTCCCCGCTTATATTCTTATAACATATGATGTAAGAGGTAACTAATAAGAACATTATTCACCGTTGCTATCTAACTACTCGTGAAATAGTAGTGAAGTGTAATTGTTGCTTATCGTAACGCTATTGTAACTTATCAAACTGTCATTGGAGGCGAGATACGATTTTTCTATTGTTTCCCTTTTACATCATATAAGTAGTTTGTATTGCTGTGTAGGTTACTTGTACGGTAAAAGAGTATGTGCGTTTTTATTCAAGATAGATCAAATGATTTCTTGTAATTTTCCGTCGGAGTTGACATTATACTTCCATTACTTTCTTAAGCAAAATGTGCCAAACCGAATGTTCATGTAATTCGGTATAGATTCGATTACAGAATAAATAAACGGAATGAGGTTGATGCTTTTAATGTAAACATAAATAAAACATATCCGTATTTCTTATAATTGTTTGTTTTTTGCATCTTATAATAAAATTCTTTATAAATAATGTCACACATACCGAAATTAATTAAGATGATTGTTTAAAATAACTTCTTTCACGTGACATTGTAAAGCCGAATGGCATGATAGGCGATCCGAATATATTTTCGTAATTTCTTTGAATTTTTGATATATGTACTCGTATAACTGTTTTATGTCTATACGACAATAAATAAATCAAATGAAGATGAAAATCCGCTTATTCTCTATACTTAAATGATTTTATTTTGAAAAATAAGGAAAATTTATTATGGTACTAACACTATTTCAAATTCATTGGTTTATTACTTAGGATATTTTTATGGATGGGTTGATATATCAAGACAATCGGGGTTCCTTTGATCTATGTGTAAGTTATATTTTTAATGCATGTGTTATTATTATATTGGTACAATTAACAATTATTAAATAATTTATTATGTAAACTAATTAAGGAATAAGCGGAGATTAATCTGGATCTTATAAATGAGCTGTGACTCTTAACATTATAATGGGGGTAACTATTTATTAGAGATTGACTGAGAAATTTTTCGAACCTATATCTGGCATTACTGTCACGTCTGAAATCTGGCTGTTATTTTGTAATTGGTTTTAAAATGTATATTAATGAATATGTATCGCACGAGCGCACAATATTTGTTTTTTAATTTCAAAATTCTTTATATGTATAAACTAAATGTTTGACATGTAATATTTATTTTCTTTTATATTAATTACTTGATTTTAAACAATATTGGGTTTTCAAAGTTAAATGATAATAATTAGTTTAATACTTTTATACTTTTTTTCTACTTTTAAATCATCAAGTCGTATTCATTCGGTTAATTAGACCGAGTCCGTTTTAAGTCCCCGTTAAGGCTTTTCAGTCGAATAGGTCAAGGGACTGGACTTATTGAGTGGATTGCGAAGAATTTAACGGTTTTAAGTAAATGTTTCAATCCTTGTAATTGTGCGCTTGTGCTTGATGAAGTTGTCTGGTGTATTGTCGTCGTGTCCACAACTGTAACTTTGAAAGAGCAATACGCCAACCAACAATCTTAAGAGCTCTTTATATTATATGTCATAGACGGAATAAACACAACTGCTCTATACTCAATTGTTGTTTTATTTCATCAATACCTTAAATTTCGTAATAGTAGATACTTCTGTGGGACTTTTGAATAAATGGCCGAAGTTAGATGCAAGATTATATTCTGCTACTGAAACTATTGATTGCCATTTTAAGTAACTATCATACGGAATTATCTTCTAAAGGGGATTTATTATTGTGTCAGTACAGTATAAAGATTTTTTGGTTTTCATTTTGTTTCTGATAATACTTGATTATTAACACCAATAAATCAGATTCAGATTAGGTGACTATATTTATTTGATATTAAACGTATCTTTGAGTGAAACGGTTCATTTATTACAGAGTCTTTATTTAAGGTCTTTTTGATATTGCAACAATTTATTATTAACGTATGATCGTTTTCATAAAATTATGTGTACAACAAAAATAAAAAAAGGAACTAAGAAATTTTGTTTCGATTAAATAAAATTTTACTTCGGCATTTAAAAATGTAGATAAAATTAAAATATTCGCTTGTCGTCACCCTTGTGGTCCTAAAATGGAAGCATTTCCCGCTTTGAAGTCAGAAATAATTCAAAATTTATTATGTTTAATCGATATGAAATTGTATTTATAATACCATCAAGCTATTATTGTAACTGGTTTAACAAATACTCAAACTATGACCCGATTTCTTAAAATCCAATAATAATTTCTTGATATTTTATAAAAATGTGCATAAATTAGAATTGTTTAAACAGCACAATGTCTCTATAGGATATTGTTTCCTGTTTCACTGCCTCTCCATTATTTTTAAAGTTAAAATCATCCCAGTTTAATTTGGTAAATGATTTATGCACAGGGCCGGTCACAGGGTGGCCGTGGGTGGCTTGGCAAAGTGAACGCCGTACCTACTAAAATTCAACACCTAGCCCCCGTTAGTCTCATTACCACCATGGGGAGATGTGTATCCAATCGTGAATTTAACCACGAACAGTGTAAATTAAACTTCAGCCTTGTTTTTTTAAGTGTAGCGGGAGTAGACTTGTTAGCTTTATTCTTTACATCATCTCTTTATGTAATATATTATATTATAAATTAAATAAATAATGTTTGTTATAAGCGCCTTGTTTTTAATCGAAATAAAAGGAGATTCCTTTCCACGAAGTATAATTCACTCGATCTACAAAGTAAGCGAAATTAACACTTTAAAATTAAGTTTCCACTTATACTTTGAAGCTACTTTGTTACTTATTTTAAAGTTTTTCATACGTTTTCATGAAAGTATATAAGTCTGGACACACAGATGGATGAAAAATTATAAAAAAATATTAAGCACTTTTTAAATATGAAGGGATTCTGTACATTGAAATAGCATTAATTTTTTTTTATTGATTATTTTTAAATTTCAGCGAGATAAGTTACCACCAGCAATTTAATTAATTTACTTTACGACCGACATTTACCAACATATTTTAAGTATAAATAAAATATTTCGTAATTTCATTTACTCGTATCCGTTTATTTAATATTTTACCAAACTGAAAATAAACACGGAATTGGTTATTGGTCAAGGATAAAATGAATTATATGGATATTTATTACAAAATTGATATTTTTATATGTTATAAATGAATATTATTAGTATTATTATTCCCTCTATTTATCAGCTTGTTTAAGATCCTCTCCAAAATCCCTCATTACTAATTAAGCCTCGTCTCGATGTGATGGTTAAACATATGGAATGCTTTATTCACCGAGTCAAGTCAACCCACAATACCTTTCTTGGTAAAGTAACTGGAAACCGATATTTCAGTTATTTCAAGTACAAATTTCTCTGTCAATATAGTTTTCATTTTATATTTTATAATTTAAGTTATAAGCGAAGTTTATCAATTGGGTTGCCTATACTATTATTAATAATACTTTTGTTTTTGTAACTGTAGTATAGACACCATTTCGGGTATATTTGGGTCATGTTTTAATTTAGCATAAGTTTATAAAATATGGAGGTTTGTGTATAAAACTCGTAGTTTAAAATATTTCATAACTTAGCTAGATTTCTTAGTACACATTTGTTCTCAAAATTTTTTTGACGTCTTATAATGAATAGAAAGTGAAAAATAAAATTTGTTTTTGATCACAAACAAATTTCTTATATTTTAGTAGGAACTCTAAAAAAAGTTAAATAAACGTCACTTATTTATCTGTGAAAATCTGTAAAATTAAGGCGTTATAGTAGCATACTTGCAGACTTGTAATTTAATTTGTAGCTGCTCAGTTATATCTAAGTTCTGAGTGCATAATACCACCTCGAAGGTATTTTCCTCGCCCTAATTTCGTGACATATCATACCATTACGTACGGAGATTTCTGCTCTTACAGAAGTTATACTGTGTGTATTGCATTTGATAAGAATTTTGCTTAAAATTAAACATATATAAGTATAATCAAGTGAATAGCTTAAATATGTTTTACGATGAACAGAAACATTCAAAAATATTACATGCTTATATTTACATATAATGGCTGGGGTAGGTTTTTTCAATTACGGTTATATATTTAAAAAAAACTATG